TGTTTCCACCCCTTGGTTCCTGGACCCATGAATCCTGGCTATTGGAGAAACAGAACCATATATTGGATGCTGGTTTCCACTGAACGTGTCATCCTATCCACCTGATTGTTAAAGTTCTCCTCTGCCGAGGTCACTTTTTGGTGGGCATTCACATGAGATACAAATACCTTTACTCCTTTGGCCCATTCAGAGAGATCTATACACATACCTCTTCCCCATACATCCTTATCACCAATCTTCCAATCATGCTCCTTCCAAGTCCCAGACCATCCAGCTAAGCTGTTAGCCACAGCCCATGAATCTGTATATAATTGTACATCAGGCCATTTCTTGTTCCATACACAGTGAACAGCCATATGCATGGCTTGAAGTTCTGCCCATCGGGAGGATTTCCCTTCACCACTGTCCTTTAAGGAAGTCCCAGAAAGGGGCTGCAGTGCTGCTGCTCTCCACTTTTGAGTGGTGCCTGCATATTGTGCAGAACCATCTGTAAACCAGGCACAAGTTTTCTCTTCCTCAGTCAGCTGATCATAAGGAACTCCCCATGAGGCCATAGGTGCAGAGTGGGACAGGGCAGGTAATGTGACTGGAGTGGAGACCATAGGCATTTGGGCCACTTCCTCATGCAACTTACTTGTGCCTTCAGGTTCTGCTCAAGCCCGATCTCTGATATACCACTTTCATTTAATGATGGAGTGCTGCTGTGCACGTCCAACTTTATGACTCTGTGGGTCAGACAAGACCCAGTTCATGATGGGCAGCTCAGGCCTCAGGGTCACTTGGTGGCCCAGAGTTAGGCATTCAGTCTCTACTAAAGCCCAGTAGCAAGCCAAAAGCTGTTTCTCAAAAGGAGAGTAGTTATCTGCAGAGGATGGCAGGGCTTTGCTCCACAACCCCAAGGGTCTGCGTTATGTTTCACCAATAGGGACCTGCCAAAGTCCCCAAACAGCATCTCTATCTACTACAGACACTTTAAGCACCATTGGATCAGCCAGATCATGTGGCCCAAGTGGCAGAGCATCCTGCGCAGCAGCCTGAACCTGTTGCAGAGCCTTCTGTTGTTCTGGGCCCTACTCAAAACTAGCACCTTTCCAAGTCACTTGATAAATAGGCTGCAGCAACATACCCAAATGAGGGAAATGTTGCCTCCAAAATCCAAAGAGACCCATAAGATGTTGTGCCTCCTATTTAGTTGTGGGTGAAGCCAGATACAATAACTTATCTTTCACTTTGGTAGGACATGCCCCACACCATTGGACCCCAAGAAATTTCACTGAGGTGGAAGGTGCCTGAATTTTTGTTGGGTTAATTTCCCAACCTCTAGTATGGATATGTCTCACCAATAAGTCTAGAGTCATCGATACTTCTTCTTTACTAGATCCAATCAGCATAATGTCATCAATGTAATGGACCAGTGTGATGTCTTGTGGAAGCAAAAGGCAGTCAAGATCCCTATGGACTAAATTATGACATGGTGCTGGGGAGTTGACATATCCCTGAGGAAGGACTATAAAAGTGTACTGTTGGCCTTGCCAGCTGAAGGCAAACTGCTTCTGATGGTCTTTTGAAATTAGTAT